GAAAAACACCCGATCCTGAACAAGAAGCAGCTCTGTCCTGCTTCATCTGACATGGTGAACTTGCTTCCGATCAGTGTTACTAGGGAAGTTTTTTTTCATGCCACAGCTGATCCAGAGATCCCAAATATTGTAGACATTTCCATCTAGGGTCACCCGAACAGAAAATAGCATGAGAAAAGATCAAAGTTTGTTATTCGGGGTCTTTCTCTGAATGGCACTCTTGTGATCTGCCAAGGGGCCCCTGTGCACCTGGTCCCTAATTCTCATCTAACTTCCCAGGAAGACCTGACATCTGAATTCTAGTCCAGAAAGCTCTGGTGCTGTAGACAGACAATTAGTGAAGTTTTTGTTACTTGTTTGTTTTTTGGTACTAGGGATTGAACCCAGGGGTGCTTACCCACTGAGCCACACCCCCAGCCCTTTTTTGTATTTTATTTAGAGACAGGGTCTCACCGAGTTGCTTAGGGCCTCGCTAAGTTACTGAGGCTGGCTTTGAACTTGTGATCTTCCTGCCTCAGCCTCCTGAGCCAACTGGGATCACGGACGTATACCACCACGCCTAGCCCCAGTGAGGTCTTGAAGCTGGGCCTCCTGGGACAAAGGACATTGTCATATATGGTTAGAGGTACAGTACAGGATGTGTACAGGAGAATAAGGGAAGTAGGCACCCTGGCGCAGCATGTGAGTTAGGACTCTGGGAGGTGCAAGTGACAGAAGCTCATTCAGGTTCCATGATGGAAGAGTCCAGGTGCTTCTGGTACCCTCCAAGATTCTTCCAGCACCACTGGGTTGTGAATGCCCCCGACTGTTGGTGCTCACCTTCCCCTTCTGGCCTTGCTCTGCATTGAGCTCTATGTGGACCCTACCTCAGAACTCTCCCCGCTGCCCTTGTCCTGGAGAGAGAGGGCCTCTCTGGCTTGGTGGTCTCCTCAAAACTCCAGATCTGGGCTGGAGAATGTGGCTCAAGCGGTATCGTGCTCACCTGGCATGTGTGTGGCCCGGGTTCTATCCTCAGCACCACATACAAACAACGATGTGTCCGCCGAGAACTAAAAAATAAATATTAAAAAAAAACCCTCCAGATTTGTCTTTGGGTCCAGCACCCTGAAACCAGAAAAGTGTGAGATCTTACTACCCAGTGAGGGTCATCTGAGCCACCCTCAAATCAAGGGTCAGCTCCATCATCTTCCTGGTGACAGTGGAGAGAGTGGAGTAGAGAGAGCCTGGGATGGTGTCCTCCCCCAATATGAGCAAGTCAGTCACCTGAAGCCCATTCATCCCAGTCCCCTGGGAATTACCATTGTTAAGGCCTGGCCCACCCCCAGGCTTAGGGTCAGCTGTCCTGGGAGGGACTGGGCAGGGCTTTTTGTTGTTGTTGTTGTTTGTTTGTTTTGTTTTCGCATTATTGGTACTAGGAGTGCTCTACCACTGAGCTTCATCCCCAGTACTTATTATTCTTTTATTTTGGGGGAGGTGTATCAGGGATTGAACCAGGGGCACTCAACCACTGAGCCACATCCCCAGCCCTATTTTGTATTTTATTTAGAGACAGGGTCTCACCAAGTTTCTTAGCGCCTCGCCATTGCTGAGGCTGGCTTTGAACTCACTATCCTCCTATCTCAGCCTCCTGAGCCGCTGGGATTATAGGCATGCACCACCGCATTCAGCAATAGTTGTTATTTTTTTATTTGAGGCAGGGTCTCACTAAATTGCCAATGCTGGCCTTGAACTTATATTCTCCTGCCTCAGCCTCTTGAGTAGATGGGATTATAGACCTGTACCACTGTACCTGGCCGGGCAGTGTTTTTTGTCTCTTTTGTTTCCACTGTTTAAATGTCTTTTTTTGAAGTATAACTTACACACTGTAAAGTGGAATAAATCTTTATTTTTCTAGTGCTGGAGAGAGAACCCAGGGCCTCGAACATACAAGACAAGCACAGCACCACCGAGTCACAGCCCCGTGTTTGAGGTGTTGTTTCTTTCTTTTCCCAGGCCTGAGGTTTAAGCCCAGGCTTTGCACATGCTAGGCCAGAACACTAGCACTCAGGCTGTTGTGCATCATGCTCCTGTGAACGCTCATGTACAAGTTCTGTGTGTCCCTCTTAGCTTTCTACCTAGGAGTGGAATTGAACTTGTTGAAGACCCTCCAGACTGAGTTCCAAGCGTCTTCCCCATTTGACCTCCCCAGTGCCCGAGGGCTCCAGTGTGTCCACATCCCTTGTCCCAGAAAATTTTAGGTAACACTCTGCTGCTTGGGGTCTGGAGAAGGCGTGGTCTGTGTGCAGGTTTTATTGGTCCCCTGCAGGTCCGACTCACAGGAAGCTGAGGCTCCTGGGAACTCGGGCACCTGCCTGAGGGCACCCACCTGTTGAAGGACAGAGCCAATCTTGGCTGCTCCCATGGCAGGTGATTGAGGGGTAGGAGTCACTGACTGCACTCCAAGGCTCAGGGTTTGGGGATGAGAAGGGCCTCACCCGCTGGGTGACTCACAGTGACTACAGTAGGGAAGGGAACAGGAGGAGGGACAGCAAGTCCTTCTTCCTTCCCTCTCTGTGACCATGCTCAAGACTCAGAGGCCTCCTGGGGAAACAGGGCCACTCAGACTTGTCATTTGGGCACATTCTGTAGGTGGTCAGGCTGTGCCTTTCCACTTGCATGGACCTGCAAGGAACCAGAGGGATGACCGGTATGGTCAACCTGGCAGCAGGTGCTGAAGGAGTGTGTGGGGTAACAAAGTGAGAGGAAGCAACGCCCCCACAATTGGGCGTATGGCAGACAGTTTCCAATGTGAACTGACTGGCTCTGTTTTTCATTAAAATTTAAGCGCATCAGGTTGGATGTAGTGGTGCACATAAACCTAGCTACATAGGAGGCTGAGGCAGGAGGATTCCAAGTTGGGGCCAGCCTTAGCAACTTAGCAAGTCAAAATAAAATAAAAAGGGCTGGGGGTGCAGCTCAGTGGTAGAGCACTTGCATAGCATGCATAAGATCGTGGGTTCAATCCCCAGCACTGGAAAAAAAAAAAAAAAGAAAGAAAGAAAAAGTCCATGCAAATTGATGTTTTTGGCCTTGTACTCACGAGGTAAGCACTTTACCACTGAGCTAGACACCCAGCACCCAGGTGCAGTTTTTACTTACTTTATCAAATCTCACCATGTGTCACTGTCCACTGGACCTAATACACTGTTGCCGGGGTATCAGAGCCTCAAAGATGCTGGGGAACATTCCACAGGCCTCATGTCCAAAAAGTGAGGCGCAGGTGATATGGCCAGGCCTCAAGCCAGGTCCAGCTCTTCCCAATCTGAGGTCCTGTCGGCATTTTTAGCTTATGCCCACCCAGCCTGTGTCTGGCAACATGGCGCCTGGGAGCCCCAGGGCTGTTTTTCCTCATCTGCAGTCTCTCCCTGGCACGTGGTCTGGTCTCCTCCTGTGCCTCAGTATCCTGGGTTGAGGCCAGGACATTGCGTCCTGCAAGGCCCAGAACATCGTCCTTTCCCAGGTATGGTTTCCATTGGCTTCTTCTAGCTTCTCGGGAGCCGTAGCCTGGGGCTGCCTCCTTCCAAGTTCTTCCCAGGCTGCAGCTCCTCAGGAGTTGGCTTCCTCTGCCACCCTCCTTCTAGTGGGCAGCCTTGGGTGTCAGCAGGGACTAGTTGACCAGAGTCTCCACCTTCATGGTCCAGACACTGACTTCTGTCCCTGTCCCTTGATGCTGCTATTGCCAAATGTTCCGCTCACCTCTTTCAGGCTTTGTGCTGGGACAGAGCCTCCCCTGGTGCCAGACTCGGCACCCAGGGCTCCCAGACCCTCCATCTCAGCCCGGAGGCTGTGCCATGCTTTCTGCTTAGAGATGCTTCCCTGAACGTGTCCGTGTCTACCTAACTTTGCGAGTTGCCATCCGAGTGCAGCCAGACTTCCGTCTCCCCTGAACTGGCTCTTCCTCTAAGTTAAATGCAGCCTTGATTAAGGGGCGCACAGTTCTCTGGGAGAGCGACTCAGGAGGAATGGCCTGTTGAGCCTGGCTTTGGTGGCTGTGAGCTGCTGGCAGGGGCAGGGCTCGGAGAAGGACGCAGCCATGGCTTTGGAGCCTGGCACTGGGACCTGAGCTCCCTCTGCCCTTGGACTGGGCCAAACTTCTCTGTGTCTCATCTGCAAAGCAGGGAGACAGGACTGCACCATGAGAGAGAAACGAGCAGCCAGGGCACCCCGATCTTCAGCTGTGGTCATGGTCACCATTGTCCTCAGTCCAGCTTGGCCAGCACGAACTGGACACTCCGACCTCCGGCAAGCCCCTCAGCTGCCTCATTTTCCCCACCTGTAAAACAGCAATGAGGGAAGGCCAACAAGACATAACGGACTGCGGAAGACAGGCAATATGACTTTTTGTGTGTGTGCTGGGGATTGAACCCAAGGGTGTACTGCCACTGAGCGACACCGCTTTTTTCTTTCTTATTTTTTTATTTTTAATTTTTTTTGGATATTGGGTCTCCCTAGGTTGCCTAGGCTAGTCTCAAATTTGCAGTCCCTCTGACTCCCTCTCTGTGTCACTACTGTACTGGCAATATGACTCCTAAATGCAGTGTGGGGTCCTGGACCAGGTCCTGGGGCAGCAAAGGAGATTAGGGGAATAACTGGCAAAGCCCAGAGATTGGAGCTCTGTTGACAATCCTGATGGGATAAAAATAACACCACTGTCCCTGGGTATCTGCAGAGATTGGTTCCAGGACCCTCCTTAGTCAAGGCCCGGGAGAAATGAGAATGCAGGGACACAGGGACTTAAAAAACAATAGATGCTATTGTGCCCTGTGTCAACAGTGTGTCTTTGGGGCTGAGTTATGGCTCAGTGGTAGAGCGCTCACGTAGCACATGTGAGGCACTAGGTTCGATCCTCGGCACCACATAAAAATAAATAAACAAAATAAAGGTATTATGTCCATCTACAACTAAAAAAAACATGTTTAAAAAATAAGCATGTCTTTACCCTGGTCTCACCCCACACGCAGACGCTGAGAGAGGCCCTGGATGAGGGCTTTTGCCCCAGGCCTGGCAGCTGTGTGGCTCCGGAAATCCAGTCAAGGAGAGAAGCTGGCCACGGGGAGTGGGCACCCTACCAAAGAAGGTAATGGTCTCAGAAACCAAGCAGCGCTCAGCCTCTGTTAAGAAGCTGCCCACGGTGGCTGGCATCCACCCCTAACCCTCTGCGCTCGGCCTAGCCATAGACACGCAGGCTCAGAGTCACCACCCAGTGGCCCTCGGACTGCACTCTGGAGAAACCAACTGGACCAACAGGAGTCAGGTCAGCAGGCCAGTCCTTGGGCGGCCAGAGATATCTGAAATGTGTTTCCCCAAAACTCTTGGCATGGCCTGAAGCTGCCAGTTTTCTCCAAGTGTGTTTTTTTTTTCCTTAACTTTTTATATGGAAATAATTCTAGCATCAAAGGAAAGCTCTAAGTTGGCCAGGGTGGTGTGCTTCTGCATTCCCAGGTATTCAGGAGATGGAGGGGGTGGAGTTGGGCCAGGAGTTCAAGACCAACCTGGGCATTATAAATTGAATCCTGGACACTTTACCATTAGGCCATACCCCTGCATCTTTTTATTTTTTTTAATTTGTTCTAAGTTATACATGACAGTAGTGGACCTTTGTATTTTAAAACAAATTCTCACTAGGTTGCCAAGGCTGGTCTCAAACTTGTGATCCTTCTGTCTCAGCCTCTGACTCTCTGGGATTATAGGCATGGGCCACATGCCTGGCTGAGACTCCATCTCTTAAAAAAAAAAAAAAAAAAAAAAGAAGAAGAAGAAGAAAAAGAAACCAGGCATGGTGGTGCACACTTGTAATCCCAGCAGCTCAGGAGGCTGAGGCAGGTGGATTGCAAGTTCAAAGCCAGCCTCAGCAACTTAGCAAGGCCCTATACAACTCAGTGAGACCCTGTCTCTAAATAAAATACAAAATAGGGCTTGGGATGGGGCTCAGTGGTTGAGTGTCCCTGAGTTCAATCCCCAGTATATCATATCCCTGCAAAATAAATAAATGAATAAGAGCAGGGCATGGTAATGCACGCCAGTAATCCTAGCAACTTGGAAGGCTGAGGCAGGAGGATGGCTGGTTCCCAGCTACTCTGGGCAATTTAATGAGATCCTGTCTCAAATTTTTAAAAATTGAACTGGGGATGTATCCAGGGGTAAAGTCCCCAGCATGCAAACAAACAAACAAAGACAGTAAGAAAAGCTGCAAAAAGAATTGAGAGTCCCTGTGTGCCCTTGACCAGCTGCTCGTAGGGGTAACATCTCACATCACCACGATTTCATGATTGGAGCCAGAAAACCAGCACTGATGTGATACTAAGGACAGCCCTCCTACCTCACCTGGATCTGCCCCGTTTCCCCCGTGTTGGCCCTGGTCCGGCATGCCCTCAGTCTCCACAGTCTCCCCCAACCTGGGACCACAGCTCGGTTCTTCCCTGACCACAGCTGTGACTGTGCGGGAGGAGGGTTCAGTTGCTCAGAAGCACATGCCACCTTGGGCTTGCTGACTGTTTCTTCATGGTTACAGTAAGATGCTTCTTGGGCAGGAATCCCAGAGAAGTGAAGCTGTGTCCTCATGGTTGTGGAGTCCATGCCATCTGTCTGTCTACCCCTGGTGCTGTTGACCTTGATCATTTGGTCAAGGTGGGGGTCTGCTAGTTTCTCTGTTTCAGATAAAATTTTTTTTCCCTGCTACTAGGGATGGGACCCAGGGCGCTTAACCACTGTGCTACATCCCCAGTCCTTTTTATATTTTTATTTTGAGACAGGGCCTCAATAAGTTACCCAGGCTGGCCTTAGATTTGCAATCCTCCTTCCTGCCTCAGCCTCCTGAGTCACTGGAATTACTGGCATGTTCTATCCCATCTGGCTAAAATAAAATATATTTTTATTGGATGTATTTATGGAATTCAACATTTTTTTTTTTTAATTTTTGGTCCCAGTGGTTGAATCCAGGGCTTGCGTAAACTAAGCACATGTTCTGCCACTGGGCTACACCCCCAGTTCCCCAATTTTTTTTTTTTTTTTTTTTTGGTACTGGGGATTGAACTCAGAGGTGCTTAACAACTGAGCCACACCCCAACCCTTTTTTGTATTTTATTTAGAGACAGGGTCTCACTGAGATGCTTCAAGCCTCGCTAAATTACTAAGGCAGGCTTTGAACTTGCGATCCTCCTGCCTCAGCCTCTGGAGCCGCTGGGATTACAGGCATGTGCCACCGCGCCCAGCCCAAAGCGTTTTTGTTTTCAGTATTGGGGACGAACCCAGGGCCTTCCACATGTTAGGCAAGCACTCTTAACACTGAGTGATGTGCCCTTCTCACCCACTTTTTTGTTTGTTTGTTTGTTTCTTTTGTTTTAATTTGGAGACAGGGCTAAGTTGCGCAGGCTGGTCCTTGAACTTGGGAACCTTCTGCTTCAGCCTCCCCAGTGACTGGAATTATGGGAGTGTGCCACGGAGTCCTGCTTAACATGATGTTTATTTATATAGTGAAGTGATTACTGCCAGTCAAGAAAATCCTTCATCCCATACAGTTACTTTTTGCATGTGTCCCTTAAGAGTATCTAAAATGTATTCTCTCAGTAAATCAGCAGTATACATTAGGATATTTAGTTATATTAACTGTAGTCCTTATGGTGTACATAGAAACTAGACTTATTCATTCTACATACAGCGACTTATACCTTTTGTTCTGTGTCTTCTGCTTTCCTCCTGACTGTCCACAGTGGTAACCACCAGTTCTTCTCTTTCTATGTATTTGATTTTTCTTTTTTTAAGATTTCACATATAAGTGTGATCATGTGGCATTTATCTTTCTGTGCCTGCCTTATTGCATTTGGCATGTGTCCTCTAGGTTCATTTGTGTATACATACCGTGATTTCTCTATCCATTCACCCGTGGTCCACACCAGGTCATTTCTGTGATGACTGGTGGTGCAGTGTGAGCAGGTAGCGCAGCTATCTTGATGCGATAGTGATTTCATCTGCATTGGAAATTGTGTTAGTCAACTTTCTAATTACCTGATATCAAATAATACTGATAACAGATACTAGTCAACTTATAAGAGCTGAGATAAGGCTCAGTACCATGGGGCCGATAAATTGCTTTCAGGCCTCTGGCGGGAGTGCAGGACGGAGCAAAGGAGATGCCCTCAAGGCCACGGTGCAAAGAAGAGGAAGGAGCTTCCTCCCAGAACAGCTTTAAAGGGCATGCCCCCCAGTATCCTGCAGGTCTACCACTAGGCCCCATCTTTAAAGGTTCTACCATCTCCCAATAGCTCCATGATGGAGACCAAGCCTTTAACATACGGGCCTTTAGAGAACACTGAAGGTTTTTTTTTTTTTTTTTTGGTACCAAGGATTGAACTCAGGGGCACTTAACCACAGAGAAAGCAGCCCCCCTCACAGCAGCCACAAACAGCAAGAGGAGGGACCACAGTCCCTATATGCCCTTCAAGGGGATAGCCCTAATGACCTCACTCCTTCCCATCTGGCCCCATCTTCCCATTAGCGCCAGTGGCTGGGAAGAGGCCTTCAACACATGGCCTTTGAGGAACATTCCAGAGCTCCCCATTAGCCTCAGCTCTCTGCCACCTGAAGTGCCAACTGCCAGCCTCAGCATTGTCAAGTAGTTCTGCACTGGTTCGCATGGTGACTTGGTCTGTGTCACCACACTGAGGTGCTGTCTCAGCTGTCTGCCTGAGTTCCCATGGCAGGCCCTTGACCTTGACTGGTGGCTTCTCTGGCTCACAGAGGAGCAGGCCCAGCTGGCGGAGGGTCTGGGCTGCAGGGCCTGCCCGGGCACCTGCCTGGGAACTGTATTTATCATACAGCTGGACACTTCTGAGAGCTTGGAGCAGGAGTCTGTGGAAGGGATGGGAGGGAGGTGCACTTGGCTGGGACCCAGGTCATGGACACACGTTCACTTCCAGGGAACAGCCATTGGCTGAACCCACTCGGGAGGGCAGCTCCACAGATGCCGCCATGTGGGCAGACGTGGCCACATCACCAGCCCAGGTCTCTTGACCCAGAACCTCAAGTCCAGGTGCCACCCATGCTATGCACTCAGATCTGAAGACCACTGGGGTTCACAGAGTTGGAGGTGGAACTGGGTGGTAGCCAGAGGCCACTGATGTCCACTGGAGGTGGGGTGGGCCGGATCTGTCCTGGAATCCTCTGGACTGGATACTGGGATCCTAACCACAGGCGATTATTTGAAATGGCTTCCATGGGGAGGTCAGTGTCAATTTCCAGGGAGAACTCTTGAAGTATTAGGGCCTTTTATTGTAAGCTTGGCAACAAAGAATATGCAACCAGGTGCCATAGCAAAAAAGAATAATTTTCTAAATATGTTTCACTGGATGAAGACTCTCAGATCCAAGTGGACCTGAGCCAGCTACTTGGTCTGGTGCTGAGTGGCTCTGGGCATGTGGATCCCCTGGCCTCCACCCCCTCGACATGATGGCAAAGATCCACAGCCAATAGTCTCTACCTCCAGCTGTGTGACCTCAGACAGCTGCCTAACCTCTCTGAGTCTGCCTGCTCTGCTGGTACCAGGTTCAAAAATCAGACTCTGTCTGTGGTGATCACGTGTGAGAATTGACAGGAAAAGACCTTGTCAATGATTAAGCGAGATCAGCCCAGGGGATGGCAACACCAGAATTCAGGTGAGGGCATCTTCTCTCCAGCAGGGAAGCAGATACCAGGTTAGGAAAAGGCCATTGGGACTGACCGAACCATGTTTCTGGCCTCGGTGACAGGTGGCTGAGTCGCAGGCTCCAGCTGGCCCTCGGTAGGGGAGGTCACCCACCCACCACTTCTCACCTTGTCCCACTCACTCCTTCTCCCCTAGGACCGAGTCCCCACCGTCCCAAGCAGGCCTGGGATGGGTAATGGTGTGAAGGAAGGCTCGGTGCGCCTGCGTGAGGATGCCGAGGCTGCCCTGTCCTCGCCCGTCTCTTCAAAGGCAAGTGACCCGGACTCCTTGAGGGGTGTTCTCCCCAGTCCCCTCTGGTCTACAGAGGATGGGCCCCACCCCTGCTGCTCTTGCTGGGCCCCCTCCTCCTCCCTCCGCAGGGGCTCCTGCCCCCACACCCCGTTACAAACCACCCTGTAGATGTGCCCGGTTTCATCTTTGCTCACAGACAGCAAGGGCCACGTAGCATCTGGTACCTTTCTCTGCTCTTGCTGCTCCAGGACACCACAAGGTCATGGGACGGAAGACACTGACTGCTTTCTATTTCCCTGAAAGCCCCAATTGGTGACACGGACACCTCTGGCAGGAAGCCAGAGTCTCTCCCCAGTGGACTGGGAGACCTAGGAGTGCGGGCAGCCTTGGGACCCTTGTGCACCCTCAGCTTTGTGGACATTAAAGAATGGGAGGGGGCAATCGCAGACCTGTAATCCCACCAGCTCAGGAGGCTGAGGCAGGAGAATCACAAGTTCAAGGCCAGCCACAGCAACTCAGCAAGACTCTGAAAAAAAAAAAAGAAAAAGTAAAAAGAAAGAAAGAAGAAAAGAAAGGAGAGAAAAGGGCTGCAAATTTGATTCAGCAATAAAGCACCCCGGGTTCAATCCCATACCATTAAGAAGAATGGGGTGGGGTGTGACTCAGTGGTTAAGCACCCCTGGGTTCAATCCCCGGTACCAAAAAAAAAGAATGAGGGAAAACAGGCGTGGGAGGAGGGATTTGCTCCAAGTTCTGAAGTTCATCTTTGATGCCTGCACTTTGATTGAAGATGTCATCTCTCAAAGAAACTGGATCAGCCCTGTGCTTGTTTGGCACGGCAGTCGGGGCATCCATTGATCAGGCGTTCTCCTGGCTGAACCTGAAATACAGGTCTGACCCACCCCCGTGGTCTTCATTCCCAGGGCCTGACCAGGCACCTGCACCAGCAGCTCTCAAAGTCCACGGGGTCAAAGGCTGAGCTGTCGTCACCTCAGTCGTGACCTTCCCCCCCCCCCCCCGAATTCCAGATGTCACCTTGGAGTGCCAGGCAGACAGGAAGATTCATTCACCAGCGTCACCTGTGAAGTCACCATCATGGGGCTGAGGCACAGGGCAGGTCTGTCCCTCAGCGGTTAGTGGACTGCCGAACAGAATGTAAAGAACAGTAGACACAGCTCTCTCTGCACACTGGTGAGGGGTCTGCAGGACGGATCCTGCCGTGTGGCAACATACTGAGACTCCAAATCCAAAAACAAAGGATGTAATCCCAGCAGCTCTGGAGGCTGAGCAGGAGGATCCCAAGTTCAAAGCCAGCCTCAGCAAAAGCGAGGTGCTAAGCAACTCAGTGAGACCCTGTCTCTAAATAACATACAAAATAGGGCTGGGGATGTGGCTCAGTGGCCGAGTGCCCTTGAGCTCAATCCCCAGTACCCTCCCTACCCCAAACAAAAAGGAAACTCAAAAAAAGAAACTGAGCATCATCTCATATTTATGGTCAATCTGGACCCCATGTGTGGGTTGCCTACATCTAGATGTCAGCTCCATTGCCTCACTTATCATTTGCAGGGTCTCTCCACATGAGGGATGTTAAACATCAAGCTTTTAGCGCCTGTTCAGAGCTCTCCCAGGAATAAGTTGGAAACTTTGGCCAAAGGCGGGCGGCTTCCACTGAGCATGAGAAGTGACCTCGCTGCATCCCCAAACATAGCTAGCAGTCACCTTAAGAGTTTCAGTTTATAGGTGCCATGTTCCTTATATAGAGTTGGTGTTGAGCTGGGCATGGTGTACACACTCATCACCCCAAGTACTCAGGAGGCTGAGGCAGGAGGATTGTTCAGGGCCAGCCACAGCAACTCAGCAAGACCCTGCCTCAAAATAAAATGAAATGAGCTGGGGATGTCACTTGGTGATAGAGCAATTGCTTGCTTAGCATCTGTGAGCTCTGGGTTCAATTCCCAGTACCACACCCACAGATCCTGCTGTGGGCCTAAAAATGAGGATCCTCGATAGGTGGCCCAGAGAGCAGCTCACCTCCAACATGGACAGTCATTATCACCCCGGGAGGTCACTATGTCCTACGTAGCCTGGACCCACCACCCTGGCCCAGCCTCGCCATCCCAGGGCGGAGTAGGGCCTCCACACTCAGGCTGCTACGCATCCGAAGACCAGGACAGGGTGGAAGGAAGGAGCTTCCCTGGGGCAAGGTCCCCTGCCAAGCTGACCCTACACCTGCTTGCCCTCTGCTGACCTTGATTGCTGACCTTGATCGTGTGTTCTGTCACAGAGAGACCACAGGCAAGTGCTCAGCTCCCTGCTGTCCGGCGCCCTGGCTGGTGCTCTCGCCAAGACGGCAGTAGCTCCCCTGGACCGAACCAAAATCATCTTCCAAGGTAATGCTCGTCCACCTGTCCATGTGAGATGGAGCTGCCAGGCGACCGTCTGCCCTTCTTCCTTCACTGCCCCTCAGACTACTTCAAATGGTTTTGGAAAAAAAAAAAAATGCTTCTTTAAAATCCACTTAGAAATCATGTTGGTTTCTTGGGGCCGCATCACAAAGGACCCACTTCCAGTGGCTTCAAATAATAGACACTGATTCTCTCACGGTCCTGGAGGCCAGAAGTCTGAAATCAAGGTATTGACAGGCTCCCTCTAGAAGCTCCGAGGAAGAGCCTTCTCGCCTCTTCCAGCCTCTGGGGTCCCTTGGCTTGTGGCCATGGCCCTCCAGTCTCTGCCTTGTCTTCACGAGACCTCTCTGTGTCACTATATCTGCTTTCTCTTCTATGAGGACATCAGTCATTGGATTCAGGGCCACCCTTATCAGTACAACCTCACCTTACCTCTGTCACATTTACAAAGACCGTGTTTCCCAACAAGGTCACCTTGACAGGGACTGGCCGTTGGAAGTGGAAATAACTTTTGGGGTGACACAGTTCAACCCAGAATGGAAACCACCCCCCTCCCTCCTTGGAGCTAAACAGTCACAGGGTCCTCTGGAGATAAGGCCTGTCTCTCCCATGAATGGTTAGTAGTTCCTGCCCAGGGCCAGGCAGCAGGCAGGACAGGGAGAGGTGGCTGCAGACTTGAGCCAGGCCTTCCCCACCGCCTTGAACTGCTCCCCTAGCCTCACTGTGCCTCAGTCTCCTCGTCTGAAAATGAGGGCATTGACGCAGCCTCCTGGGCTGGCTGGCATAAGGACACAGGGAGTGACAAGAGGGAGGGGCAGGCCCTGTCTGCTGCCCTGCTGCTTCCTGGGAAGCAGGGAGCTGGGATGACATTGAGACCAGCAGGCTACACACACCTTGCACAGTGGGGAGGTGCGGGGAGTAGGAGGAGAGGGAAGAGAAGCTGCCAGGCCACACCAGAGGCCCCTGGTGACCCTTGAGGCCTGTATTTCTGGATCTTTCCCAGAAGTCCTCATGGCTTGCCATAGCTCCAGGATCCCCACAACCCCGGTGGCCAAGGGCACCATTGAGTTGGAAGCCAGCCAGGCAACCATGGGGCCAGGAGAGAGGTGGGTCAGGGGCACTCTTACTGGGGCTGGGGGCGGGGCACGGAGAAGAAGGCAAATGCCACCCAGGACCTCCGGCCTTGTTCTGAGAGCCAGGGCTGCTGGCTGAGGCCCTCATGACAGCTGAAGCCTTCCCACAGGGGTCCAGGGTGGCCGTGCTGAGTGGTTCCTGGGGTCATCCTCACAGCCCCTTCCTGAGACCCTCGCTGTGCAGGGGCACTGGGTGCTGGCTCTAGTTCCCTGCCTGGGGACAAGCCTTGAAGGAGGATTCCCCAGGGGAAGAGCATTCTCAGGGGCGGATATCCCTCTCCATGCTCCAACCAGACCCTGGTATTGAGGGGAAAGGTCACGGAGACTGGGGGTTCCGCCCTTTGCATCTCATAGTCTCTTTTGTCCTTTTTTTCCCCCCAGTGTCTTCAAAAAGATTTTCTGCCAAGGTGAGTTGCTAGGTCATGGATGGCTCTGGGGCGGGCACCAGAGCCCCCTTGAGTTGGCAGGAAGTGGTGGAGGGAGGTGGTCTGGGACAGCTGCTTCTCAAGGTGCTGCTTTGATTCCCTTCCCTATTCTTCCCTAGGCCAGTTTCTGATCTGCCCAGGTCAGGCCTCTCCCTGAAACCTCAGGGGATGAGCCAGGGCCACCTATCCTCTCACCCTGGGACTTAATGAGAGGCCTATTCTTGGGGTGTTGGGGTCAGGGATTGATAGTTCCAACCCTTCCTCTCTTCGTGTGTGATTTATTGGCAAAAGCACACTTACCTTCTAGATACAGGCGTATTTTAACAGCCAGACAGACTACCAGACCAACCAACACCAGCAAAAATATACTGTGTGCCGGGTGCCATGGCGCACACCTGTAATCCCAGCTAAGCCGGAGGCTGAGGCAGGAGGATGGCAAGTTCCGGCCCAGCCTCCACAATTTAGTGAGAACTTGATTCAAAATCAAAAAAGGGCTGGGGATTTAGCACCATGGTAGGAGTTCTAACATGCAGAGGCCTTAGGTTCCATCCTCAAAAAAGAAGAAGTTAATTAAGTTCCCACGGGGATGGGGAACCCGCGTCCCAACCTCTGCACTTCAGGGACTTTCCACCTGCCGAGCAGGTGCATAAGGAGGGCAGGAGGAGGCTGAGGGATGTTGACCTCTCCCTTGTTTCCTAGGAGGCCTTCCGGCTCCTCTACTTCACCTACCTCAATGAGGGCTTCCTCAGCCTGTGGCGCGGGAACTCGGCCACCATGGTCCGCGTGGTGCCCTACGCTGCCATCCAGTTCAGCGCGCACGAGGAGTACAAGCGCATCCTGGGCCGCTACTACGGCTTCCGCGGAGAGTGAGGCCCTGCCCCGCCCCTGCCAGGCCCTTGGGTGGCGCCCTGGAGGAGTCTGCCCCTTCCCTCCCACTCAGAACCCAGAGGTGGCGCCATTATGTGACCCCAGAGCCTTAGGAAAGATGCATATTCATTTATTCATATAAGGGAAAGAGGAAGCAGCAGAGAGGGTCTCAAAATCACAGCGCCTCAAAGACCCCATAAACTCAGCCACCCCAAAACCCGCCTGGGCCTTGTGTTCCTCCCCTCCTCCGCTTCTCCCCTTTCCCCCCACACCCCTGTCCCCTCTCCCCTCCACCCCCAGGCCTCTGTGCATTGACAGTCCCCTCACTGGGGTGGTACCTCCCTGTCCCCAGGGCCCTGCCCCCTTGGCCTCGCCTCCTTGCTGGCGCTCTGGCTGGAACCACCGCCGCTTCCCTCACCTACCCCCTGGACCTGGTCCGAGCAAGGATGGCGGTGACTCCCAAGGAAATGTGAGTCCTGCAACCGGTAACCCCCTCGCCACCCTTGGGGTAGGGGTACCTGTGTCCAATGGGGCTGCCAGGTCGGAATTCCTCCTTCAGGCCCCTGGACTGTGGGTCTGGGCCTCTGTGTTCAGCTACACAGGATGCTGCATTGACAATCGTCACCCTCACCAGACGTAGGGGTGCAAACCTGGAACTCCAGTGACTCAAAAGGCTGAGGCAGGCAGATTGCACAACGGAGACCAGCTGGTCAATGTGGCCGGATCCTGTCTCAAAATAAAAAATTGTCAAAGGGGGTGGGGCTGGAATTGTGGCTCAATAGTTGCTCTTGGGATCAATCCCCAGTACTTAAAAAGTAATCATCATCGTCATCATCATCATCACCATCCTGAACCCACCTGGTAGAACAGGGCAGGACTGTAGTTCCAGAAAGGCAGCCAGGGCTTAATTTTCTGCTTGGGTCAAACCAAGAGTCTTCCTTTTGAGTTGGGCACAAATACATGACAAATGTTTAAGAACAAAAGAAGGGCAGGCTGGGCCATGCATGATCCACGCCTATAATCCCAGCAACTCCGAAGACTGAGGCAGGAGGTGGAAGGTTCAAGGCCTCCGCAACAGTGACACCCTGTCTCAAAATAAAAAATATAAAGGGTCAGGGATGTGGCTCAGTGGTAAAGCACCTCTGGGTTCGATCTCCAGTACAGAGAGAGAGAGAGAGAGAAGGAAAGCATGATCATATTCACCCAGACTCAGACAGCTGTGGGAAGGGCCAGGAATGAGTATGTGGAGTCCAGCGGCTCCCGCCACGTCCCTGAGGTCACTCCCTCGCTGCGCTGTCCTCGCAGGTACAGCAACATCTTTCACGTCTTCATCCGAATCTCGCGAGAAGAGGGGCTGAAGACCCTATACCACGGATTCACACCTACAGTGCTGGGGGTCATCCCCTATGCCGGGCTGAGTTTCTTCACCTATGAGACTCTCAAGAGCCTGCACAGAGGTAAGGAGAGCTGGAGCCAGTCAGGGGCCATTCAGGAAGCGATCCCTAGGGACAGCACCTTAGCCAGGGCCAGAGGATTGAGAAGCCAAGGCCCCTCCGGATGGGGCAGTCTGGGGGTCCAGAGTCAAAATCAGGAGGAGACACTAGATCCATCCACCACTGAGGAATGGGGACAGGAAACCTCTTAACGCCTCATAATAATAATAACCAGCAGCTTTGCAAAGGCCATTGTGTCACCCAGAGTGCTGGTGGCCATTTCTCAACCCCAAAGTAAATGAGTAAAACCAAGATGGAGGGGAAGTGTCCTTTCCTGTTTTGGTAATTACAAGGAAATCTAAAATACAGAAAAGTATAGAGATTAAAATAACAGCACGCACACCCGCTGCCCAAGGTGAGCCTTGTTCACATTTTTGCCTTACGTGCTCCCAGGTGGTTTTTGTTAGAGAAATAAAACATTTCAGGTAAAATGAAGACGGGTGTCTCCCACCTCTGCTCTTCTTCCTCCCTGGCCTCCCATTAAGAGTGTGGCCTGCAGCTGGGCACACCTGTAATCCCACTGGCTCGGGAGGCCGAGGCAGGAAGATAACAAGTTCAATGTGCCAGCCTCAGCACAGCATTAAGCAACTCAGTGAGACCCTGTCTCAAAATAAAATATAAAAAGTCCGTCGAGGGCTTGGGCTGGGGTTGTGGCTCAGCGGTATAACCTGGCATGTGCAAGGCTCTGGATTCAATCCTCAGGACCACATAAAAATAAATAAATAAAATAAAGGTATATTAAGGGGGGTCTTGGGGATGTGTCTCAGGGGTTAAGCACCCTGGGCTCAATCCCTAGTACCAAAAAAATTTATATATATATATATATATATATATATTTATATCCTGCATCTCTTAAGCTTTGGAAAAGACATTGCTTTAGAAATACAGTGGACCCTTGGTATCTGTGGGAGTTTGATGGCAGGATCCCCCATGGACACCAAAATCTTAGGATGCTAAACTCCTTTATATAAGATGGTTTACTTTTTACAACGAACCTACACATCCTCCTATGGCATTTAAATCATTTCTAGGTGACTTACAATACCTAATACAGCATAAATGTCATGTCTAGTTATTACACTGTATGGTTTAGGGGATCCTAAATAAGGATTTAGGGAATAAGGAAGAAGTCTGTACATGTTCAATACAGACACAATTTTTTTTTCAAATGTTTTCAATCTAAGGTTAGTTGAATTTGTGGTTTTACTTTCCACAGTTTTAATTACCCATTGCCAATGCTGGTCTGGAAATATAGAACAAGTTTTTGTTGTTATTGTTGGTACTGGGGATTAAACTCAGAGGTGCTTAACCACTGAGCCACATCTCCAACCCTTTTTATTTTATTTTTAAATTTTTGAGACAGGGTCTCACTAAGTTGCTTAGGGCCTCGATAAGTTGCTGAGGCAGGCCTCAAACTTGTGATCCTCCTGCCTCAGCCTCCCCAGTGTCTGGGATTATAGGCTTCTGCCACCACACCCAGCAGGACTACAGATATTTTAAAAACCCTATCATTTGGTTGCTGTTCCTTCTTCCCCTCCATCTTGTTTAGACCAGGAGACTGCTAGGTATAGTCACAGTCCCTTCCATTCTGTGCCACCTGGGATTCTGCGTTGCAGACAGAGCTGGATGGCCAAGAAGGACTCATCTGGTGACATTTTCTTTCTTTGCTAGACACTGAACAGGGATTCCTTTTGGGCATTAGAACTTTGTTATATGATTATTTGTGCTTTTCTTTTAAGAAACTATCTTTTTTTTTAAGAGAGAGAGAACTTTTTAATATTTATTTTTCAGTTTTCAGTGGACACAGCATCTTTATTTTATTTGTATGTGGTGCTGAGGATCCAACCCAGTGCCCCGTGCATGCCAGGCGAGCGCACTACTGCTTGAGCCACATCCCCGGCCCCAATCTTTTCAATTTTTTACATCTTTCTCAGTTTTGATTTCAAAAGGAGTAGGGGCTGGGGTTGTGGCTCACTGGCAGAGCACTTGCCCAGCATGTGCAAGGCCCTGGGTTCCACCCCCAGCACTTAAAAAAGAAGAAGAAAGGTAAAAGGAGGGGCCAGGAAGTGAGAAAGTGGGGCGTAGAGGTGCTCAGATGTGCCTCCTGCGCGTCGCAGCGGCCTGACGTCCCACGTCCCCTCCTACCCCTTGCCCCGCAGAGTACAGCGGCCGCCCGCAGCCCTACCCCTTCGAGCGCATGGTGTTCGGGGCCTGTGCCGGCCTCATCGGCCAGTCGGCCTCGTACCCGCTGGACGTGGTGCGGCGGCGCATGCAGACTGCAGGCGTCACCGGCCACCCGCACGCCTCTATCCTGAGCACGCTGCGCACCATCGTGCAGGAGGAGGGCGCCGTGCGCGGCCTCTACAAGGGCCTGAGCATGAACTGGCTCAAGGGCCCCATCGCCGTGGGCATCAGCTTCACCACCTTCGACCTCATGCAGATCCTGCTGCGGCGCCTGCAGAGCTAGGGGACTCTGTGGGGCAGCTGCTCTTCAGATGGTGGACCAGTGACCCCTTGGGTGTTCTGAGCCCACAGAAGAAGGGTGTGGTTGGTTCCACCCCACGAGCCACGATGTGGCGCTTTGTGGAACAGACAGTGGGCCTGGGGACCTGGGCTTGGAGCCCACAGGTCCAAGAGCAAAGCGGGCAGGCCCTTCGAAGTGCAATGTTGGGACGGTGGATCGGGGCTCCCACGCTGTCCCCTCCCTTCTTCCCTGGGGCTGGCACTGCCTCTAAAGGTGTTGCCCAAATGCCCAAAGTGGAGAGTGGCTGGCTCCGCCTCCTGGCGCTGTGTGTCGTCACATGCTGCTTATTCAGTGACACCTGTCCACACTAGCTCAGAGCCTGTCCGGTGTCGCTCTAGCTCTGTGTGCTGTGCCTGGCCTCCATACTGAGCAGGATGGGTCCCTGTCCGGGATGGGACAAGCCTGGTGCTCAGCCGTGGCTACAAATGCAGCCCCTCACCTGCCCCACCACACCCCACCCGTCCACCTTCATTGTTTCCCAGGTGACAATTCCTCTGTCTCCACAGCCTTGTCCCCAGAGCATCATGTCCTTCTTAGACTCCAAGGTCAATGTGGGGTCCCCAGCAGGTCTTTCTTACTATTGCTGCCTACTTACTGTGTAACCATCGCAAGAGGGTCCCCACACTGCAGGATTTGGCACAGACCATGACACAAGGCCACCTCAGGTTTGGGTCTGACCCCCAACCTGGCAGTATCTGCTGACAATAGCACCCCAGCCACCCCCTGTAGGCCTGAAAGCTCCTGCCACACCAGCCACCCCAATCTGCCCAGTTGTGACATTGGTGATCCCTGGCTCCTTACTTGAGCAGGAACTTGGTTAGAAATCGCAGCAGTTTAGGCCCATGATTCCCATAAAGAGCATGGAGGTGTCTGGTGGCCTCGATGCTGCTGGAGTGGGAGCACCTCGGGAGCCCTGTGCCAGCTGGTCTTATGGAACAGCACCCTGGGGCCCTCCAAGTATCACAGGGACCCAGAAACACCCCTTTCCTAATAACGTATGGGGTTTTTTGACTTTTTTGTTTTGTTTTGTTTGGTTTGGTTTTGGTTTTGGTTTCTGATCTGTCCAGCCCTGAGCGTATTCACACCAAATCCCCGTCTGCGGTGATCAGGGTCCGTCCAGGGTGACGGTGAAGTGGGTTCTCACGGCGGGCTCAGCAGCCACCCCTGCCCAGGATCTGAGCGGGCGCATTTGTCCCTCGTGTGTTTGCAATCGTGTCTTCCGTCCCTTCCCTCCCTCCTGTCCTCTTGGTTCTTTTCTCTGTACCTGTGAGTGTGAAGACCCCGTCTCTGACCTTCCCTGCACGTGTCCACCAGCCGTCCCCCATCACATCTCCAGTCTCATCCTCAGAGGCCCAGGTAGCCTGTGGTGGCCTTGAGGGGCTGTCCTCTTAAGTAACATCTCACCCACTTTCCCAACCTTGTCCAGCCCCAGACTTGGCAGGAGGGGCCCAGCGCCCCTCCCAGGGAGATGAGGAGTGGGCAAGGTCCTGGGCCAAGGAGAGTGCAGGGGCTGGGGTCCCATCCCAAGCATGTGACACCAAATGGATAATTGGGCAGTGCCCTCCTTTGGGCCATGGCTGGGCAGGAGAGTCCCCAGGCTCTGCTGGCCCCAGCGTGCCCCGCCCTGGTGGCTCCTGTCTCGGTGGGCCTGGGCAGGGCTGCCCCTGCCCCTGTACACAGCCAGCCGGGTAATGGAGCCTCTGAGGTCAGCCCCTCCCTGCTGCTCGCTGGTCCTGGTCTGGAGTTCTATTTTGATGCCATGAAGACACTTTGTTTATATATAATGTTTATATATTTTAAAGATTTGTGCCAAGAGAGTATATTTAATAAAAACGTACGTGACTTCTTCTCCTGCTCCTGTTTCTTCTTCCTCTTTGGCTCTGGTTTCTCCCTCTCTGCAGTGAACCTCAAACGGGCTGAAGCTATTTTTTGACAAGTGTTTTTTGTTTTTGTTATTGTTTTTTGGGTTTTTATTTTATTTTTTTTTTGCAGGTTGTTTTTTGGTTTGGTTTTACGTGCTAAGGGTGAAACACAGGGCCATTGGCATCCTAGGCAAGGGCTTCATCGCTGAGCCACAGGCCCCCGCCCCCCTTGACAAGTTGTTAAATGAAGTTTTGAATAAGAGTCCTGAATATGTTTTGTTACTTAATGGTGGTTGTTTGAATTGCCAGTATATACTATGACTTTCCAGAAAACACCGACAATACACGAGGGTTTGCACTAAAAAGCAGGTTGGCCTCCACAAGGTCAGCGTCTCTGACCAGTCGCTCACATCTCCTCCCGGTTCTATCCATACACACTGTCCCTCCTAGGAGGCACGTGGCCACCCAGCATGTCAGGACGGCCTCACAGTCTCATAGGCATGAATACAATTCTCTGTCCCCGAGATCTGTGATCCAGGGTCAGCAGAGGCCTCAGGTGTGAGGGCAGCAGTATGCAGGGGCAGACAGACAAGGCCACCAGGAGGTCTCATGGCAATCGCTGCTCACTTCACCTGCCCTTCATCAGCCACAGCGACTCCCAGGGCACGTGCCTCTGAAGCCAGAGGCCAGATCTCTGCATGCCCAGGAGAAGAGGGGCCGCAGGGGGACCACACAGGACAGGGGTGGGAGCAGTCCCAGCAGGCTGTGCCCTGCAGGTCTCATTAGCTGTCAGGCACTGTCCCCCTGGAGGAGGGCTGTGTCAGGCAGCTTTCCGTCACCAAAACAAATACATGAGATAAATCAACTCATACACAGAGAAGATTTATTTTGGCTCATGATTAGAGATTTCGGTCCATGAGCAGTTGGCCAGGTTGACCTGGGCCTGTGGCAGCACCACTCACCTTAGGGCCTGGAGGCAAGAGAAGAGGTGATCCCACAGTCCCTTTCAAGGACACGCCTCACTGACCTAAAGACCACCCACTAGCTCCACCTACCAATACTGCCCAACTGGAGACCAGACCTTGAACACGTGAGCAGGTTAGTTAATTAACAGAACTAAATACAGTAAAAGGACAGTTCACATTCCTCAATGTAGGTTCAAACCTTAACTCAGACTCCACCAGAATCCCAAGGTGTTGCTACCCTGTGCTGCCTATGACCCCAAGCAGTCTAGAAGCCATAGAGGTGCCCCAGAGGCCGGTGTGTGAAAAGCTTGGTCCCAGCCCATGATACTAATTGGGAGGTGGTGGACCCATTGGGAGGCGGGGCCTACTGGGGCATTATTCAGTACTTGCAGATGGAGACATGGCATGAAGTGGGAACTGGGACCTCTTCCTCTTCCTCTCTTTGCTTCCTGGTTGCCAGGAAGGGAGACGTTTGTTCCACATAAGCTCCCTGCCATGGTGTGCTGCCTCACCACAGCCCCAAAGGCAACAGAACCAAGGGACTGTGGCTGGAAACCTCTAAACTGTGAGCCAAAATAAACCTTTCTGTTTTTATTTTTTCTTTTGTGGCACTGGGGATGGAACCAAGGGTTTGCTTATGCTAAGCAAGCATTTTACCCTATTCACAAAATCTAAAGTGCTCCAAAATTCGAAACTTTGCCAGTGTCACGTCATCAGATTTTGGAGGACAGCAGTGTTCCCTGCTCCTCTCAGGTCCTGTTCTGGGAACAACAGCATGTCAGCACCTCTCAAGGATCCCTGGGGATGATGTCACTTTCCTCAGTGGCACGATGCCCCCTTTTGGTGGCAAATCAGCAGGACAAGCTGGAGAGTGGCTTCTCCCTTCAGGTGGCAGTCCTGATGCAGGTAATGGAGCCCGGAGGCTGTGAACAGGCAGGCGGCCCCAGCGCAGGAGTGCTCCGTGGGTGTGCTTGGCACGTTTGCAGAGCCATTAAGGACCCACTAAGAGCCGATCACTAAGCCCTGGGGGCCACCAGCCGATCACTAGGTCACTCTGGAGAAGGAAATGGTAGACTTTTTTTATTCCTAATTCACCTTTTACATAAACAGAGAGGCTTCAGAATATGTGTGTTATAATACACAAGTGCACGCACCCCAGGTCCCTGCCTCAAAGTCACAGTATGGCACCATGTCCTTTCCCCTGGGTCACCGTGGCCTTACAACGTCCCTGCTTGCCTATGGGTGACCTTTATTTGAAAGCAGTCACCCCTGTAGCTGTGGAAGGCAGTGGCAGCACCAGGGACCTCCTCCCTCCAGTCCCTTCCCCTTCCTCTCTCTCCTGAGTATTCCTCCTCCTCCAAGTCTTCTTTGCATGTCCTTGGGTCCCTCTCCCCTTTCCCCTCCCTGCCACCTTCTTCACAGCTGTGACTCCCTCCAGCTCTCTCTCTCTGTGGACCTGGGATGGAACCCAAGGCCTGGCACTGAGCTGTACCAGCCCCAGGGCCCTTCCCTGCCCTGCTTCAGCTGGCCTGGGAGGCCTCTGGGAACTGCCTCCTGCATGACTCCACCCAGATGGGCGCCATGTGGCCTCACAGGAAGCCATCACCCTGCACACCCAGCTCCCCAACCACGTGTCCTGTTTGTACAAAGTGGCCCGCTCCTTTATTTATTCATAAGAGCAACCCACCACTCAAACCCTGCACATGTGTGTGTGTGTGTGTGTGTGCGCGCGCGCGCGCACACACACACACACACACGCACACACCCCACTTGGGGACAATGGGTTCCAACTCTCCTGCCCCAGGACCCTAGGGAGCCAGTTTTCGAGGGTTCACAGCGGGCTACAGCCCAGGCACTGCAGAGATTGTGGGGAGTCCCAGTTGCACCTGGCAGCTGGGGACACTGAGGCACACACGGAGGGGCAGGCCATGTCCGGTTGGCCAGGACCCAACTTCAGAGGTCCAGGGAAGTCCGCGGGCGGCTAGGAGCCCGCCAGCTGCTGGTGGAAGTAGAGGCCGAAGAGACTGGCGAGCAGCTGGCAGGCGGCGGTCCACCAGATCAGGTAGGTCAGAAGGCCGCGGAGGAAGAGCGGCGTGAGCAGGCCGCCCACGGCCCCCGCGATCCGGGCCGCCGTCTGCTGGGCCTCGTCCTCCCCAGGGCTCACAGGGACAGTGTTGGCTGGGGTCTGGGCAAGCGACAGTGTGGGGACTGGACCCAGGCCCCAGGAATAGCCACCTGTGAGAGAAGGGTGCAGAGGGTGGAGGGAGTTCTGGGTGGAGAAAGAGGCGGGGTCTGTCTGGGTCCCGCCCCCACCAATCAGCAGTCCCGCCCCTGCCCCGCCCAGGGCCTCTCACCCAGGGTCTTGAGCAGCAGGGTGCAGTTGAGGGTGAGGATGAGCGGAGTCAGGTACTGCAAGCTCACCACGGTCACATAGCAGTAGACCCTGACCACCTGGAGGACAGGTAAAACTGGTGACTGCAATCGGAGGGGCCTTTCCTGTTCAGGGTGACGCCACCCCCAAGGGACCCAGAACCTCAGGTTCCCTCCCTGCCGGGGCTCCCCTACCCGCCGCTGGATCTCACGGGCCTCAATACGGCCAGCCTCTCTCCGCAGCTGCTCCACGCGGGCCTTGGCCAGGCACAGGTAGGCCTGCAGGTGGGGCCGGGTGACAGCCAGTCTCAGCAGGCACAGCACCACCAGCACCCAGAGACGCATGGAGTCAAAGGCCGAGTCTGACAGCCTGCGGAGGGCGTGGTGAAGGTGGACAGGGGCCTAATGAGGCAACTCCCCATACCCCAGATCTTCCCCCTGCCCCTCCCTGGGCCTCACAGCTCCTCCAGCTGCCCTCTCTCAGTCCCACCCCAACGCACAGGGAGAAGGGCTTTTCCCCAATGGGCGCCTGGTGCAGGAAGTCCCGAGCAATAGGCTTCGTCCAGAGCCACAGGATGAAGAGGGGAGACAGGAAGCTGGTGTGCAGAAGGAACCTGGGGGGCAGGCACAGAGGGTGGAGGGGAGTGAGGCCTGGGCATTCCTTCATCCCCCGAATCTCTTCCCCAGGTCCCCTAGTCCCTCCCACCCACAGGTGCCTCACATAACTGCAACACGGGCCGATCCTCAGACATGGTCAGGGCATCACGGTGGGTCTGGGCCAGCCGCAGGCCAGGGAAGGTGAGGAAGGCACCCAGCACGGAGCCCACCACAGCCAGCCCGACGCGGATGGTCAGCTTGGCTACAGGGAACCTGGGGAGAACAGCAGATCAGAGGGGCTCAGCGGCGAGTCAACACCCAGCCTTTGGGTTCCCAGCTTGCCCCTGACCCCCACCCCGGGGTCTCCAGGACTCACGCCCAGTCCCAGCCCTGCTTCTCCAGAAGTGGCTCCAGGTTCTGGGTCATGCTGGCCAGGCCTGAGAAGAAAAGAAGAGGATGGAATAGAGGGCATTCCAGAGTCTATGAGCCCACTCTGCTTCCCCCCACTGATTTTCTTTTGCTCCCCAAGTAGGAATGCACCATGGCGGCCAGGCCTTGGGGAAGGCATGAGAATAACTTTCTTTTCCTGGAGTGCTGGGAATCAAACCCTGGACCAGTGCTAGGCAAGCACTGTGTCACTGAGCTATATCACTAGCCCTGCAAAGACAACTTTATGTCCCAGTTCTACAGGGCTCCTTTCAAGAAATAAAAGAATACACCAGATAGATACCCATGATTGACTTGGGGTTAGGAGGTGGGGCTGTTCCGTCCAGGCTTCCTGGATCATAGCAGGAATCTGAAGGAGGATGAAGAGCTCCCACAGAAGAAAACCAAAACCTCCTAGACCAAAAAATTCTCAGTTCAGGCCCCAAGATTTTCTACAGATTGGGCAAATATATAAATGTTCTGCTTCATCTCAGGCCCCAAAGCAATAGGCCAACCAACCATGAACTAAAAACTCCAAAACCATGAGCCAAAATAAATCTTTCCTCCTTTTAAAGTTGATTCTCTCAGGTAATCTGCCATAGAGATACAAAGCTAAC